TGACAGGAAAGTATACTTTGCTTGCTAAATTATGTGTATTCTTGATCATAAAGTTCCTTCATTATATAATACCTAGCTTCATTGGTGGAGAAGAACATAGATGGAATATATGGTTAGCATGCTGAAATTTTGAATTGGTATTACTTTTAAGTTTAGATTTTACATTGGCTTTCCTTTATTTACAGTTTTAATACAAGTTTAGAACCTCTTTTAGTTAATGAACTTTCATATATATAAACAGAAGACTGACTTTTACTCTGCTTGTATTAACTTGTAACAATAGTGAAAGCTTGTAAGATTAATAGGAACACGACCCTTTTGGAACTTAACCTGTTTGCAAAGTGAAAACTTGCATATTTTAATGGTAGTTAATAGCTGGAGTATTTATGAGAGGGATGATGAACAGAGAAAAAGTGCTATGGGACATCCCAGGAAGACTCTTAACTGTGTGCTCAGTGGCAACTTTCCATTTCTTTATTTCTTGTAGTTCCTCACTCAGCAGATTAGGAATTTTCTAATGCTTAGTGTATTCTTTCTAAATTTTTAATTTTTAATCATTCAGAATCAACCTTGTCTAATTTTTAATAGAGAAGAGAAATGTTGAAGTGGTAGGTTCCTGTGCAGCCAGAATTTAAACTGGAAACTGGATAATAGATGTATATAATGTACAATTAGAAGGCACAATAGAGAGATTGCTTCACTTCTTCCTTCATTTCTTCTTTTCTATCTTCCTTTCTTTCTGCTCTTTTCCTCCTTCCATGGCATCAAGAAGATAGTCAGAAAATTATGTTTGTATAATGTCTCCATCAAGGATGTTATTTGAGACTGTTCTTTTTAGAAGACTAAGAATAGACTAGTGTTTTGAATATATACTCATAGGATCATTTTTGGGTTTGTATTAAATTGGTAGTTTTGTAACGAAATGAATGTTTTTCTTGTGAATTGTAACTCTTCCTCTGTATCTGTTCTTTAGAAATTTTCCCAGGGAAAACTTTGCTTTTCTGTTGAAGCATGTTTTCGAAGGCTTAACATTGTACCTCCATGATGAAATGAGATAATATATGTAAGACATTATTTTGAAGATGATGAATAACCCTGTAGCAAGAACAAGAACTCTTATTTATGTTTGAGATTCTAAGTTCCTCTTAGTTGGGTCAGATTTAGAAAAAGGTACATTTTGCTATATTCATTCATTAATTCATGCTGTAACATGTATTATCGTCTCTCAGCAAGGGCTACTAGCTGCTAGGAGTATAGTTATGAACAAGACAAAGATGCCTTATGGAGCTTATATATCCTATAAAGGGAAAAAATATAAATGATCAATTATACAATAAATGGTATAAGTACAGTTGTGATAGTACTAAGACAAGGCATGTTTTAAACATCTGTTATTGGGGAATCCTACTTAGTTGGAGAATCAGGGATGGTTTCCTTGAAGAAGTGATATTTTGATTTTTGAGTTAATTTATCATTATCATAAATGTGATTGGGGAATTCATTTTAAATAAATGCTTAGAGTATACAACCCTAAATTCAGGTTTAATTAAAAAAAAAACATGGTAACAAATTTATATTCCATTTATTCTTGGTCTTCCATGTGCATAATTCAGTTGAAACTCTTGGTTTCCTTAATTTTAATAGTGCCTTGCATGATTCTTAGCTGTATCTATATATATATATAATCTAAGACTGCATAAACTCAGTCCATTATTTACATTTGACAATTCATAAAAGTTATAATAGATTTGAAAAATATTTGTTAAAATGCATTTAATTTGGATGTAATTCTATTGATAGTTCCTTAAATAAGTAAACCAAAGCATTTCTATTGTCTCTCTTTCCAGATAGACTGTGAGCTTCTGAAGGATAAAGGTCAGTGTCTCCATAACCTTGCAGGATGTGACCCATATAGTGCTAAATAAATACAGAAAACATCAATATGAGTAAAATGTAAATAAGGATGAAACAACTTGATAACTGATCTTCAGGTTTCTTTTAAGTGACTTCTAGTATAATAGTTAATAGCATGGAGCCTTTGTTATCACAAGAGCTGGTTTTGAAAACCAGTTTTTTTTTGTTTTTTTGTTTTTTTGTTTTTTGAGACGGAGTTTCGCTCGTTACCCATGCTGGAGTGCAATGGCGCGATCTCGGCTCACTGCAACCTCCGCCTCCTGGGTTCAGGCAATTCTCCTGCCTCAACCTCCTGAGTAGCTGGGATTACAGGCATGCGCCACCATGCCCAGCTAATTTTTGTATTTTTAGTAGACACAGGGTTTCACCACGTTGACCAGGATGGTCTCGATCTCTTGACCTCGTGATCCACCCGCTTCGGCCTCCCAAAGTGCTGGGGATTACAGGCTTGAGCCACCGCGCCTGGCCTGAAAATCAGTTTCTTAATGTGTATTCTTAGGCAGGTTACTGAAGTTACTAAACTTCTCTAAACCTCATTTTCCTCATCCTCAAAGTGAGATTACATGTGTACTTAGTGTACCATCTGACATGTAGTAAGTGTTCTATAAATGGTGGCTAATATTATTACAAAAGACGTTTTAAACTTTTTATCTGTCTGAGCTATATCTGTGATATTTAAAGTAGACATGTATGTTGGCATAAAATATTAGTATGTATGAGAGCAGATGATTGACCCTTTCCACAACTATGCCAAGTCAAAAAGTTAAAAAACCTATAATTACTAGGCTTTTGCTTATTCAAACTAAACTTCATGAACTGTTAATCACTGATAATTAAGTAGATAATTATGGTTCTTATTGCAGTGAATATATTTTCTTCCTTTATAACTCAGTTTTTGTTTAAACAAATGACATAGTTTGTTATTTTGTAATTTTGAAAATGTTTTATAGAGACAGGGTCTCATCATGTTGCCCAACCTGAACTAGAAGTCCTGGGCTCAAGAGATCTTCCAGTTTCAGCCTCCAGAGAAGCTGGGACAGCAGGCACATGCCACCACCCTGCCCAAACTGTTTTTATGAAAAAATTTTTGTGAATTTCTAAAAAGGAAAAAAATCAAATCTCCCAGTCTTTGGTGTAGATTAAGGTATTTGATGTATGAGGTTTGCCTGAATTGATGTCTGTATAGGCATATTTAATGCACATATTTACATGTGAGGATAGAAAGACCAGAAAATCTTATTTATATTTCTAATTTTCAGCTTCTGTAAACTTAGTTATTTTATGTACTTCACTGTCATTCTTTTTGCCTGTATAATGAGAACAAATACCATTACTCTTCTGTTTTCGAGTATCTTTATGGAGGTAAAGAAGGTAGGAAAACATTAACTTGAGAAACAAATATTCTAAAGTTTCAAAACCACTTGAAAAAAATTGTAAATTCTTTGTTATTTACAAAGTTATGATTTCCTTGCAAAAATAAAATAATACAAATAGTCCTTGATACAAACAAAGCTAAAAACACCAGCAAATAAACAAAACATCTTTAAGGACTTTTTATTCTACATTTTAAAATATGTACTTTAAGTTTTTCCAACAACAAGATATCCACAAATTAGTGTATACTCTAGGCATTGGCTGTAGTCAGGGTATTAGTAGAACAAACTTTGGACTGTTGTTCTAAGAATATTAACATATTTGATTAAAATATGGGGATATATGCCCTCCTGAAAAACTTTTGTTTCTGTACATGAAATGTTTTGATTGATTTGTTGGATTATGTGCTTTTCAGATGACTGAAAATACTGGAATTCAACATGTAGTGGGAGTTCCTAGGGGCCCATTTAGAGCTGTTTGCCTACAAAATTGAAAACAACTGGCAGTTTTATGTAAGGCAGCCAGCAACCTATACTCTTAAGAATGTAATTTGTTGAGTGAGATTTATGTAATAATTGTTGAATTTGCATATTTTTCTCAAATGACTTCATTTGTATTTTTCAGTTGCCCCTAGGATGTCACTGAAAATTAGGATTCAGGCATTTTTGCATTTTTACAGTTGCATCATGCCCATGGTCATAAGCAGATCATTAATGACTTGGTATCTGGATGTTGATCTCCCTGCTGTTTTATCCTTACATATGTTGGATTATTGTCACCAAGTCACTTTACGGGCTTCTTAATCTACATTGACTTTGGGGCTTAGATATCTTCACCTGTAATTCTTAAGATAATTTGCTAAGTATTATACAGTGTACACTGAAAAAGTGGACTTGGAAATAAAATTGCCCAAGGAAAATTAAGTTTTTCTCTCGACAATATGCATTTTTGGATATGTTTTGCCTTTTTTATTTATTACAGTTCTATGTTTTGTCTTTAGCAAAATTTGACCATGATTATTAAAATCCATCTTCCTTATAAGTTTGGTTTCTAACCTATTAGTGGTGGTCATGTTTCTCCACTTCAAACTGCCCGGCTTGAGTGTTCTAGAGAAAACAGATAAAAGCCTAATGTTTATTTTAAACATTCGGATTACTAGTGTAAACTCTGTTAACTTTTTCTTTTTAGTAGAGATTCAGGAAAATCTTTAAGAAACTGAAATTTAGAATATTTTATTGGACTAGAAGAATTTTGAAGTTGACTGTAATCACTAATGCCACTGAAAAACCACAACTGAGATTTTTAAAACTACATATGAAAAAGCATTATAAAGTGTGCCTGAAATCGAACTCCTCACTGACATTCGTAGGGAGGTGTGATCTGTAACAAAGAAATTGTTTAAAGAAAAGTGATCGTTTAGAGTTAAGAGATCTCTGTGTATGTGTGGGTTAGGGAGTCCTATTGTAATTGGATGGGAAATAGTTATTTTCTTGAACTGTGATTGGCTAAAATTCTTTTCTTTCCATGGTATTTTCTAATAACTGAATCTGGGGATTTTCTATGCTTTTATTATCTGATCAGTGTGTTTGAGGTAGGTACTAGTACTAAAAGTACCAAAATTGGCGCAGACACGGTTCGTGAAATTTCAGGACGTTTACAACGGCCCGCCACGGAGCATTTGCTGTTCTTATAATAAAGCAGTGACGAATTTGAATCTCTGAATAGCTTAAACATGTAATTGGTATCGCCGCAGATGACAAGAATGAAAGGATGACAATTCCCCTTCGTTTTCCCTTGAAGTCATGAACAGTTGGTTCTGCTGTGACTTTGGGACTTAGATTTCAGTGTAAGTGTTGTCCTGCTCTGCCGCTGGTACTGCTAATTCACGCTAACTCAGGCGGCGGGCGCTGTGTGCTCTGAGCAGCATCGCGCCGGCGGTGAGGCGTCAGCCCTGGAGTTTATTTTGTGATCCAAGTGGAACCTCTACACTTCACTTTCCCTTCACCTCCACCTCTGAGGGAGCAACGAATAGAAAGGTAGACCCCCAAAAGCTTGGTGTAGCTGTCGCTGACTTCCACGCGGCCCTCTTCATTTCTTGGTCCCGGAGCCGCAGCCGTCGTCGGGCCGGGCACTACTTTCAGTCTGCGGTGGTTCCGCCGACCCTCCCGCGGCTCCTGCCCCGCCCGCGCCGGCGGAAGGAGACGCGCGGCGCGCCGCCGCTGCCGGAGGAGGGAGACGGAGCAGGACTGGCCGCGGCACGGTGGCGGCGGCGGCTCGGCTGCCTGGGGCCTTAGAGAGGGCCGTTTACGGATTTCTGTCAGTTTTTTTGTGTGGCGCTGCCGCCCAGAGCTGCGAATCTGGCAGTCTAGAGGAGTGTTTGGGGGGGACCGAGGTCGCTGTGTCCTGGACAGGGGGGCCGGTGCGCCCGGAGTCTGCGCTCGTTCGCGGAACCGCTGCCGTGCCCCGGTCCGCCCTCTTTAGTATGAGCGGCCGATAGGAGCGAGGTCTCACCGTTTCCCTCGCACTGGAGGAGGCAGCGGCCGCATCGGCAGCGACAGTTATGGCGGTGGAGACGCGGCCGGAGCTGGTGGGGAAGCGGTTCCTGTGTGTAGCGGTCGGCGACGAGGCGCGTCAGGAGCGCTGGGAGAGCGGACGCGGCCGGCGAAGCTGGCGAGCGGGGGTCATCCGAGCCGTGTCACACAGGGACAGCCGCCATCCGGACCTAGCGGTAAGAGAGCGAGCGCCCCCCGCCCCCCACACCACCACCCGTACCTTGAGGGCGTCCCTGTGACACCTGGCTCAGCCCGGCCAACTGGCTGTCACGCCCCTCTGCTGAGCCCTCCGCGCGTTTGCCCGCAGCCCTTGCCCGGGTCCTGCCTCTCTACGGGTGGCTTTCCCTGCGGAGGCAGTGTGGGAGCTGGACTCCCGGGGCAACCATGAAGGCCGTCCTGGCCCCCATCCCGGAGGAGTCGACCGCGGCTCCCCGCTGTGGCGCCTGGGCGACCGCGGAGACCTCCCCGAAAGGCGGAGCTGCGATCTGAGCGCCGCGCGGGCAGGTGGGGTAGGGGGCGGACCACTGGTGGCGATAGGTGGCTAGCTTCCCTGGCCTCTCTTTTCTTGGAAAAGTCTTCATAGTGCTGTAGCTCAAGACTTAAAACTTACCGTATAAGGTTGCTAAAGGGGAGAGAGAAAAGGGAAAAGACATTCCCATACAGCCCGGGGATTCCTATGTGTTTTAGAGGCAGAGGTCCTGGCTTTGGCTGTGCGGCGATTTATCTTTCTCTTGGTAGATAACTTGACTGTCTAACCGGAAAGGATAAAAGTGAAAGTATTTGATGTGGAGGGTAATCTCTCTCTCTCTCTCTGTTCCCAATGTGCTTTTTTTTGTTAGGAACGTATAGTGCTTTGGAGTCAAGATGTTTCTGGGTTTTAGACGATTTTAAATAAGAAAAATGTTGTCAATTAAAATGTTAAATACCATGCAGAATATAGTATCTTTTTCTTTGCTTTCTTTTCCTTACATGTGACATTGCCAGTGTTTTCTTTGAGTAGTGTAGATATGTGCATGATTTTGAGCTGGAATGTGCTCTATTGTGTTCCAAGTGCATTCTCACTGAGGGACAGCTTGAACGTAAGGGGCGGAGTAGAGACAAGACGTAGACTAGACTTCCCAAGGTTGATTTATGTATACATTATCTATGAAATTCAGTTAGTGTCCTGAGCCACTTATTCACTGAAAATTTCAAATTTAGGAATATTTTTTCCCTTTGTATGCGTGCAAACTTAAAATTCCAAATTCACTGTAATATCTGTACGGGTACCTACCTATTTTAATAGTTTCCGAGGGTGTTTTTTTATGGGTTTTCGTCACTGTAGTCAATAATACAGTTAATGTGGTATGTATTAATGTTGATTCGATATTGCAGAATAGGTGTGTTGTGCTAATAGGTGGTTCTAACAGGAAGTAAGCAGAAGAGAGGTTGTTTTGAAGGTTTTGGCTGGTTATTTTTGTACAAAAATGTATAATCTTCCTTAATGGTTGATGTTAATGGTTCTAGAAATTATGGCAGTTTTATTCAGTAACTACTTGTATTTTGTTTGTGTAAAAGGCTGAGATGAAAGGATAGCTAGAGCCCAGGACTTGGAGTTTAGCCTGGGCAACATAGGTGAGACCCCCTATCTCTAAAAAAAAGAACAGAAAAAAATATATATATGTGTATATAAATGACTTAATTGTTTTCTTAGTTGATAATTTAAATGATGTAAAGAGCAAGTTTACATGTTAGTAAATGGTAAGATATTAAGCTGGGTATTAAAGAATAAATTGTGGATGGTAGGGATCGACTGGAAAGGATAGGGAAGAATTTCTTCAGGTGATGGAAATGTTTCCTATCCTGATTGTTGGTTACACAGGTATAAATATTTGTCAAAACTTACTGAATCGACACTATCTTTGCATTTCACTCTATGTAAATTTTATCAAAAAAAGAAAAATTTATGTTGAACCGTAGCTATGTGTGAACTCTTGATAAATTTTCCTTTATCTAAGTCTTTACTTGAAAATTTGAATATTACTAATTTAGTTTCTTTAGCTTAGAATCTATTATTTTAGATTTATTTCCAAACTTTCTTACATTCACATTTCTTATATGAAACTTGGAACAGTTTGGCATTAACATAATGTAATATTCCTGTTGGACTTTTGTTACTGCAGAGTGTATTTTAAGTTATGTGAAATTAGGCTGGGCACAGTGGGTCATGCCTGTAATCCTCAACACTTTGGGAGACTGGCATGAGAAGATACTTGAGTGCAGGAGTTTGAAACCAGCCCGGGCAACATGGTGAAACCCTGTCTCTTCAAAAAATACAGAAATTAGCCGGGTATAGTGCTGCATGCCTGTAGTCCCACCTATTGGGGAGGCTGAGGTGGGAGGATCACCTGAATGCTGTGAGGTTGAGACTGCAGTGAGCCAAGATTATGCCACTGCATTCCAGTCTGGGCAACAGAGTGAGACCCTGTCTCTAAATTTAAATATATATATATACGTGTGTGTGTGTCTCTGTCTGTGTGTATATGTATATAATGAAATTATATGGAAAATGTTGAAGAGGCTAGTTTGTGATTTTTTTTTTTTAAAGCTACAAATACATATAATTAAAAACCTGTAAGTATAGTAGAAGTCCTGGCTAGATACACCTGTGGCACATGATTTGGAAGGATAACAGTAAGAACTTGAAAATAGTTGAGAGAATACTGTGTCTTAAAGATAGTCATTCTTATTACGGGTCTTATGTATGAGGAATTGCCCTGTGCATTAAATTTCTGTCATTGTTTTAACTAATTAGCATAACCTTTATGCTTATTATTTTGCAGTTCTAGAGATCACAGAGAAGACACAGATCTTGCTGGGCTAAAATCAAGGTTGTGGCACACTGTTTATTCTAGGAGAGGTTTATTTTCTTTCCTTTTCTCATTTTTAGAAGATATCCACATTCCTTGACTCATGGCCCCCTTTCTCCCTCTTAAAAGCCAACCAAGTTGTAGCTCACCATTTTTTCTCTAGTATCTCCTTCTGACTCTCCTGCTTCCCTTTTACACTTTTAAGTGCCCTGGTGATTACACTGGGTCAGTTGACATAATCCAGGATAATCTTGCTGTCTGTTAACAATCGTAATTCCATGTAAACCTTAATTCTCCTTGTAATGTAACAGTTGCAGGTTCCTGGGATTAGGACATGGATATCTTTGAAGTTAAATTATTTTTAGCACACCGTGTTAGCAGACATATTTCTTGCATAATAACATATATAATTTGATACAAATAAAGTAAGATTAGAATTTTATTTTTTCAGCCAGGGGTTATAGTGATATTAATGTGCTTAACTTTTAGGGTTCTGTTCTAAATCCTTCAGAGGTGTTATATATTGCCTAGGACTTGTATTATATTACCATAATCAACTACCATAATATATGCTATAGGCCAGGTGCGATGGCTCAAATTTGTAATCCCAGCACTTTGGGAGGCCAAGGCAGGCAGATGACTTAAGCTGAGCACTTCAAGACCAGCCTGGGAAACATGGTGAAATCCCGTCTCTACTAAAAATACAAAAAAGTAGCCAGGCATGGTGGCGTCCTCTGTGGTCCTAGATCCTTTGGGTATTGAGGTGGGAGGATGGCTTGAACCTGAGAGGTCAAGGGTGCGTTGAGCCATGATCATGCCGCTGCCCTCTTGCCTGGGCAACAGAGTGAGAGAGTGTGACTCTGTCTCAAAAAAAAGGAAAAAATATGCTATATTTTACTTTATAGAAATCCAGTAAATTTTTAATAACAAAATATGTTTAGTTTGAAGAGTTTGGATGAGGGATTGTTATTTGAATGCGGATACGATTTTTAGTGGCGTAGATTTAATGGCAACAAATATTGTTGATTTTATTTGTTTGAAGATTTGATAGTGATCATATGTCTGCCTAATTTCACATAGTTTTTCCAGTGTGGTTTTTAGCAGACTTTTTCTTTTTCTTTTCTTTTTTTTTTTTTAAGACAGGGTCTCACTCTGTTGCCCAGGCTGGAGTACAGTGACAGGATTATGGCTCATCGCAGCCTTGACCTCCGGGCTCAAGAGATCCTCCCACCTTAGTCCCACAAGTGGTGGGACTACAGGTGTGAACCACCATGCCTGGCTAATTTATTTTACTTTTTGTAGAGATAGAGTCTCACTGTGTTACCCAGGCTGGTCTCAAACATCTGGGCTCAAGCAGTCGTCCTGTGTTGGACTCCTGGTGTTGGGATAAGAGGTATGAGCCATGGCATCTGGCTTTAGACTTTTATTAGATGCAAAATTCTTAATCTGACAATGAAATTTGTAAGGATTGTATACTTTTAGTTTTACAATTGGTGTTTACTAATTTTTTTTTTTTTTTTTGGAGATGGAGTTTTGCTCTTTTTGCCCAGGCTGGGATGCAATGGTACGATCTATACTTGGGTTTGATATAATGTGTTTAAAGTGTAATTTATTATCTTCATGTGAAACCGGCTGCCATTTTGAGATTTAATTTGAAGTCTCATCTGGGCTTAAAAACACCTTCATGTTTAATGTTTTTTCCATCTTGAATGTAGGGATTTACTCAGTTGTATAGATTTCTTCCTTTAAATTGGAACCTGCCTTCCTGTCTCCATTCTTTGCCATTTGTACCCACTAGTTCAAAACTTTCCTTGCTTGATGTATTTGGGTTATATCTATTGATACTTATTGTATTAAAAACTAAACAAAAGTTTTTAAAACACTAGAGTGTACAGGCCCACATTCTGGTTATCTGTTAGCATTGATAATACATATAGTACAGGTAGCCTACTGATGTGTACATTGATGAAAGAATGAATGGAAAAGGCAAATAATATCTTAGTAGTATTTTGAGAAGTTTAAATTTGTATCTTAACTAACCCCTTTAATGGATTTTGTTGCCCTGAAAACGTTGGTGAAGGTATCTGCTCATCTGATTCTCTTAAGTAGTAAACAGTTCAATTTTAAGTTGAATTTGGCTTCTTC